TAATTTTTCAAATGTTTCTCCTTTAATATATAAGGGATATTTTTAATTTTATAGTGTACATAATTCTCTTGCTCATCGTATAACTTTATAGTGTACCATATTTACGAAAGGAGATGTGTAGATTGACCATATATAATTGTTCTTTCAAGCTTTCATTGACGAACATGTACAACTTCATGTTTTTCTTCTCATTTTTAAAAATGTATAATAGTCATCTATAACTCCAGCTTACAAGATTATAAAATTTTATAGATGGAATAATCATTTTTGGAGTAATATTTACCAATCAAAACTATGGGAAACAATAAAGCGTAGCAAAAAAAAACAAATTATGAGAGGCACAATGTTAGATTACGATAAAGATGCACAACCTGGTTAATGTAAAATAAATATATACATTTAGTTACACATCAAGAGAACAATTGATTTTAATTTATAAATACTATTGGCTTTTTCTTAATTTTGATATGCATATATATATATATATATTGTATAATCCATATAACCAAACATTATATAAACATAAATGCTTAAAAAATCTGTCCATAATAAAATATAATATAATTAATATATTTTACTTGAAATAGTACATATTATAAAATAATAAACAAGATATAAGAAAAAAAAATTAAACAGTGCTAGAACCAAAAGTATTTATTTAATTTACATTAACCAATTATGTAATGTTAGAACCATTAGTTGAACATTTAGTGATTAAACTAAAGAACATAAAAATAGCTCTTAGAGATTATTATATTTTAATTATTGTATATTTGTTTTGCTGCATAGAAACAAAAGTATTTGACATAATTTCAGGATTCTTTTAAATTACATCACTTTTAAATTTAATTTTTCTCCGTTTCATCACTGCCTTAACACTTAAGAACGAATTCATATAGATTTTGGTATCACCAAATAATAAATAATAAATATTAAAATTTAAAATATATATTGGTTAATTTTAACCTTAAAAAATATTTTAATTATATGTTAATTTAACCACATTTTCATAAAAATCAAATAAACAAGTTAAAAGAATAATTGAATTTGAAATAAATTTTTTATTCAATTGGTTACCAACTTATATGTATTTTGATATTGAAAGAAAAAAAAATGAATGTTTAATAATTTTATAAGTTTAGTCACCAAAATTAATATAAAAAGTTTCAATATTTTTAATAGTTTATATAAATTATTTAGTCTAAGTATAGGATATGTAATCAAATATACTCTATAATAAACTAAAAAAAAATTAAAATATAGGAAAATATCCGGGCGTAGCCCGGGAAAAGTCTCTAGTACTATGTAATATATCAAATCTTTGACTCCCGTGTGCCCGTCATAATTTTAATTCGTAATCAAGAATCAATGTAGTGAACTGTATATATCTAACATGTCATATTTTTTATATTTAGTTAAGGTGTTAACCGTGCCTGGCTTGAGCACACACCCATAAAACATTGGGATGGGGCCTCATTTTCATATCAATTTTTTTTAGTTGAATTTTTTTTTGAACACCATGTTTAGTTGAATTTAATACTTATAAAACCTATATATTTTTCATATTTGGTTAGAAAATATCAGAACATATATATAATTTATAAATTTTACATAATTAAGTCAATTAAATTAACATAAAATACATATATTAAGGAAAAAATAAAAAAATCCCTAATTCTTTTTAAAAAATGTAGTTATTTTAATCAAAAAAACATTAAAATTTTTAATTTCGTATGGGACCTCGTAAATCTCAGGACCGCTAATCATATAAGAACTTTGTTTATATGTACGTCTATCTACGTTTAAACTCATTAAACCAAATAAGTATTTTGTTGAGATCTGTTTGTATATATATGTAGAAAGCTCAGTTTTTATTCAGACCGCACATCGACTAGGATCAGTTAAGCCATCCAAAAAGAAGAAGAAGAAAAATGTCGGTATATAATTGTTAGTCCATTGGTATGGCTGTAATGTGTCGAACTCCCAAAGACATAACGACGTTTCTATAATAATGTTAAGTGTTACAATTATATACGGTGGGGGATATTATAGTATCCTTAGCATTTCTGTAATTGGTATATATGGGGTTTGTACGTTTGCCATACTTGTGACGGCATGCGTACGTACCATACATGTTTAAGAGAACGATGTTTGATATTTTTGGAAATGTTGTTATATATTAGACAGTGATTGATCGTATATGATAATTCAAACTTATCAGATTTTTTATTTTTTTTTATCTTATCAGATATACATGCATGTCGTGTCAAATGAACGGCGTGCAAAGTGCAAACTACTCCTAATGAAGAAAAATGCAAGCCTATCTGATTAAAAAGGTAGTTTAGAGATCTGGTTACTGATATTGCACTCTGAATCATACATGTTCGATCTAGCAATCTTAGCTTAGAGGCAAGATATACAAAGAAGTTTATTTAGATTAGAGTTTAGAACAGTAGTCAAGTATAACAAATCAGTATTAAGAAAAACAACAATACTATTAGAAAATAGCTACCTATGCATGTAATATACATTATGCAAATATCAAATTTCTTGGTTATAAAATAACCTAGTTATGGTAACATGTATTTAATAGTCATAACTACCTATGCATGTAATATACATTATGCAAATATCAAATTTCTTGGTTATAAAATAACCTAGTTATGGTAGCATGTATTTAATAGTCGTAATTATAGTTATGGTTAGTGTCGTATTTATCGTAACGACAACGTCATGCAGATGCCTATCTCAAAATAAAACGTCCTGCAGGTTGCAGATGCATTGATCTATCTTTTGTGGACCATTTACAAGTACTATAGTCGCGACTCGCGCGAATGTGAAAGGCTTGGTGAATGATGGGTCCCATACTGACAAACGTCTTCGAATTCCAAAACGCCGGCGTTCTACAGTTGAGAGTCCCGTGACCATTGACAATAACCATTTTTCAAATATTAATGAATGGAAAAAGGTATTGCACAAAAAAAAGAATGGAAAAAAGGTAAACGGGGTTATCATAATTTTATACGAAATTCTAGAAATGTCAAACTGTGCTCCCTGTCAAGATTCGTTTTCAGATTTAATTAAGGGTTGACAATAGAGGATCGGATCAGTTCTTTTATTACGTGAAATTTATTTGAAATGTAAAGGTTTCCATATTAACTTTGGTGGGGGATTATCACGTTCAAGATGATTTTTTTAAAAACAAAAATTATCATGAGGAGATTGGGGTCATAAGCCTAAAACAAATCTGGGCTAATACCAGTAACATAACGCAACATATTATTTTTATAACAATTTTTGGAATTAGGAAGCAAAATATTAACCTACTACGTCCAATGGTAAAATGAAAAGTTATTACATATACAACCAAATAAAACCCATATTAAAAAAAAAAAATTTATATGGTCGACATAATAGAAATCATGCAAACAAATGGGGCACATATGTAGTATGACCTTTATAACTATTCTCGACTCTACAATGAAAGTTATACGATTTATATGTTATAAAAGAAAGATATCTAAAAGTGTACTTTATAAAAGAAAGATATCCAAAAATGTACTTTACATAAAAAATGTCTTCTTCTTTATGGTGATGAAAGTCAATCAAGACGAATAGACCTAGTCTGAATAATTAGAGAGACATAGAGTCGTTGCTTTCGGGTCGGTTCAATAGTTTTGAAAGTTAACGCACATAAAAACTGTTTTGCATCTTGCTCTCTTTTTCTATTTTTCTTGCCCTTTGCAACTTGCTAAATTCGTATGGGTAGACGATTTCTGGCAAAGAAAAACGAGAATCAAACTTCTGTTGTTCATAGAAATTCAGAAAAGTCAAACATCTGGAAGAAAGCTATTTTCTCACATGACTGAATTAACTATATATAAACCAAAGTAATAAAAATCAATACCGCTAGGAGAATAGTGTCGTTACGTATTGTTATATACAACGTGTGAAGATGATCAGCAACCACACATGCGTTATCTTCTTCATATTACTATGAATTATCCAACCAACTTCTTGGAAAAACCTGTAATCTTTGTACGGATGCATCTCATATACAATCATTTTCACATTGCTCAACCCGCATGTAGCAAGCTTCTGGTTTAATTTCATCATTTTTGTTGTTCTTGTTGTTGTTAATAAGCTTCAGACTTTTACTTTTATACAAATATTATTTTCATAATAGTAGATGGACATTTAATAGTTCGAGAATTCATATTAGAGTGGGAGATGAGAGTTCCAATATTGTTATTTGAGTGGCTAAAGCTGTAAATCAAGAAAAAAATCTTCGCGGCTGTGAATTTTAACTAGTGTTGTAAAAATGTTTTAGGCTGTCGTTTAAACGCTTTAGCTATTAATTAGACTTGTAAATTATATTATGTTGTTAAATTTTATGATGATTAAATAATATAACTTATAGTTTATTATATATAATATAATATTATATATTTAATATATTATTTTACCTTTTAAATATTTAGTCAGTTTAAATATCAATTTATACATACAACTAAGCGTTTTAAACATTTTATGGTTCGATCACAGCCTATTCGACACCTAGGACTTTTTGAACATTGGTATTTGTATGATCTTTCATTGACCATCTATGAATTTAAAAAGTTATAAAGATCAATGTAAAATATTTAGTATATTATTTTTACCTTTTTAATATATTGTCAACCCTTAATTAAATTGAAAACGAATCTTGAAGAACATATATATATATATATAACTCTGTTTATTAATTTAAAAAATATATTTTTAGTTTGTTATCTATTTAGAAAAGTTAATAGAATTCCAGTATATCTAAAATAAAGATTAGAAATAAGAAAATACATTTGATATAAAAAGATTCCATTTGATATCGTCTTAGATAAGAAATCTAAAATATATGTAGTATTTATGCCCATTAAATTTGTATCTAACTGCACATTATTTTAATTTATATACTACATTAATTAAAATAAACAATAAATGGTACTGGTTAACTTTACCACCCAGCCAATTCTATATATAACCATAACCTACACATTTGTGTGCAAATTGTTTTGAGACCGTCCGTAATATTCAATCAACAAAACAAATACTTTCCTTAAAGCCAGACAAAACGTTGATTCTAACCAAAAAAAGAATCATGTAAAAAATCAATATAAAAATGTTAATTAATTTGTTGAAAAAAATGTTTGTTAATTAGTCTCAATATTAATTTCCTCATGTGAAACCTGGCGTTCTCGGTATATATGTATGTGACGGTCACGTCTCCGGTCTTAAAGCCACGTGTCAGTTACCCACGTCGTCCGTTCACCAACTTTAACTCCTTCGACTTCTCTATATATAAACCAACACATCTTCCTCTTCACTCTTTAATTCAATAAATCTCACAAATATGGTAATAGCTAATGAAACCAGTGGAAGTCATCACCGGAGAATTACTTTCGCCGACTTTTTAATCTCAGATGCCAACGCCGGTGAAGAAAAACACAACCGTGGTGGCCATCCCAGTAGTAGTAACGACAAGGATGTAAATAGTTACCAACAACGTCAAAGCAATGCTTCGACCACTAGCGGCGACTCCTCTCCAAACCAAGTTTTATCTCCATGGAACCAGACTTACTCACCGTACTACACCGACACAACAACGACGCCAACTATGTCTCCGTCACCATGGAACCAGACTTACTCTCCATACCACAAGTCTCCTTGGATCTACCAGACACAAAACATAGACGATGTTTCCGACAACGGGTTAATCGGTACGATCGTGAGACAAGAAGGTCATGTCTACTCGTTGGCTGCTTCTGGAAATCTTCTATTCACTGGATCCGACTCCAAAAACATTCGGGTCTGGAAAGATCTTAAAGACTTCACCGGTTTTAAATCAACTAGTGGGTTAGTTAAAACAATAGTGTTAACCGGAGATAACCGGATTTTCACCGGTCATCAAGACGGTAAAATCCGGGTTTGGAGAGGGTCCAAGAAAGGATATAACCGAATAGGAAGCTTACCGACTTTGAAAGAGTTTTTGACCAAGTCGGTGAATCCAAAGAACTACGTCGAGGTACGTCGCAGGAGAAACGGTCTGAAGATTCGTCACCACGACGCCGTTTCGTGTCTAAGCTTGAACGAAGAACTCGGTTTACTCTATTCCGGTTCGTGGGACAAGACTCTCAAAGTCTGGAGACTCTCCGACTCCAAATGTCTAGAGTCGATTCAAGCTCACGACGACGCGATCAACACCGTAGCCACCGGTTTTGACGGTTTGCTATTCACCGGAGCCGCTGATGGAGCTTTGAAAGTGTGGAAACGTGAGCTACAAGGAAAAGGGACGAAGCATTTTCTTGTTAACGTGTTGATGAAGCAAGAGAACGCTGTTACGGCGTTAGCTGTTAATTTAACGGCGTCTGTTGTTTACTGTGGTTCTTCTGACGGTTCTGTTAATTTTTGGGAAGGACAGAAGTATCTTTCTCACGGCGGGACTCTCCGCGGCCACCGTTTGGCGGTGCTCTGCCTCGCCGCCGCTGGGAGTTTGGTGCTGAGTGGTGGAGCGGATAAGAATATTTGTGTGTGGAGTAGGAATGGTGATGGGACACACTCGTGTCTCTCGGTGTTGAGGGACCACGTGGGACCTGTGAAGTGTTTGACGGCGGTGGAAGAGACGAAGGAAGAGGGTGATGGAAGATGGATAGTGTATAGTGGAAGCTTGGATAAATCGGTGAAGGTATGGCGCGTGAAGGAGACGGCGTCTCCGGTGGTTGGCTGAGATGATGCTTCGAGGAGGAGGAGAAATTAAGCGCCGTTTTAGCGCGTGGGATGCGAGTATGTAAAAAGGGAATGTTGTTCCGCGGGGCATGTGAGTGTTGCCGTTGTGGTCAAGACAAGTTTTATGGTCGGTAAAAGGAAGCAGATCTTACGACTAATAAAGGAAGGCCACGTCATGAAAGTATCTTAAAAGGTTCAGAAAGTACATCTATTTTATTCAGTAGTGTTCTTTGTAACTGCACATATTTGATTTACGTTTGAAAATGAAACATAAAGGGGAAATGATTTGGCCATGTTCAGAAACGGAAAATTACTTCATTGTATAAAATCATTTTGTTTGTACTGATAATTTAAAACTGATATTCTTTTGTCGAACAACTTTTAAAACTGTAATTACTAAAAAAATTTTAAAAGTTGATATTCTAAAAAGATTAAATTGGAACTTTTAGATTTGTAACGCGTACGTTTAGTTGCTTTGTTAGTTATCTTTTCTGAATAAGATGTAGCCGTTGAAATGAGATAGAATGTTTTTCTAGTGTCTTCATGAATTTACTAACAAGCAATGTTCAGTTTTTCTAAACCAAAAAGTAAAACATAACAACAATGTACTGTTGTACCAAATTTTAGCCAAAGAAAAGTAATGTTGTACCTACATTATGATTGTATTATACAATTTATTCATAGAAGAGTGTAACACAAACTATGGTAGGTCCGTAGGTGACTACTATTGCCTTTCCAGAAGTTATAACTATAAAAAAATAGATTTGCCCAAAAAAAAAAAAAAACTATAAAAAAATAGATATCCCCTATCCTGTTATTCAGTTCCAGGTAGAATTTCAAGACGCTAGGCGAGAAAAAGTGCAAGGGTCTTCGGCCATGGTAATCTGCTAGTTTTGATAAAGCCCTACTTTCCCTCTAGTGCTCCTCTTCTTCCTGCCTCTGCTGCTTTCACTCTCCCTTTTTCTGCTCTTTTTATAATTCTTTGCGGGCCAAATTTTCACTTCAGATCTTGCATAAGCTGTTAAGTTTTCAAAGGTTTTAGTGGAAGAACAAACGAAAAAACCATCCAAACCTAAACTGATCGTAGGTATGCCAGTGAATCCAACTCTTGTCCGTTCTCATCTAACAACTAGATTTTCAATATTCCACAACTGAAATTTATGTGGTGTACTAGATTACATATGGACATCATTTCACGACATTCAGCCAAGCAGCAAGCTAGTGAATGCCGATACACTTATAGTAAATCAAAGGCCAATCCTAAAAGTAGGCAATGCGTGCTGCGTTTAGAAAACCCAATAAAATCTTTGGACACATCAGAAACCAAAACCAAAATTAAGTACCACATAGGTGGACATTGCACGACTCGTTTTTCTTTTATCTTAATACTGATTTTCTAGATTATTTAAATTGGAGTTAAAGATTTAGAATACATATGTACTATGTTAGGTGATTTGTTAGTTCAATTTGTTGAAAAGGGGGTCACTGGAGAATTAGATGTAATATTTTATTGCTGTCTTGATGAGTGCATGTAAAAAGTCTCTCTTGCGGATTTAAAGTCTGGTACAAATTTATATACACGCACAAGCTATATTTATGCACGTAGCATATTTACATACACACCTTTATTTCTAATATTTTTTTTCAAATAGCATGAAAAGCTGATAAATTCTGTTCTACAAATGTTTTTTTTTTTTGAAAAGCTGTTCTACAAATGTTATCAATCATTTTCTTAAGTTTTGAAATTGTATAATAGTTTGATAATTCGGTTAGCTAGTATACCTCAATTTTAGCAGATATAGATTTCGGTTCGCAGAAAAATGTAAAATTAAATTATTTATATCAACTAACATGTAATATCAGTAGTGAGCTTTCTGATATTTATAGTTTTTTTATATAACTTTCTATTCATATGACTTTGTTCTAAAACGTAGGATAGAAACTAGTTTGTGCTTTTCTTTACAAAAATTAAGGTAACAATTTACAGACAAACACTTATTCTTCCTCAATAACGCAAGTCCCCACTAGGTTCTTGTTCGTTTGACTTTACTTTATTAAGAACGATTAAGCCCATAACCTTGACTGTTTTAATTTTAAAATTACAATCGTTATGTGGTCTCTTGTTAGGTTAATCACACTCTCCACTTTTCCTTTTCATAATTCATAATTCTCTGAGACCTTAGAATCTATATGGTCCGTTGATCATATAAAATACTATACATTGTAAAACACGATCAGGAATTGAATGATTTACACTCACGCACGCACTCAGCCTCTATAGGATCCTAGCTCCACTAGGATTAGTATATCCGCTAAAAGAATGCTAAATTAAAAAAAAACATTTTAAAAGGTTTCGCATTATAGGTAGGTAACATAACTTGCATCACATAATCCGCTTATATTGTCGAGATTATATATTTGCTTATAAGTTATAGCTATATCTTTGAACCGTGCAATGATTTATTTATTTAGAAAAGAAAATCTAGACAATAGTGTAGTGTCCATACGACTATGCATACCTCATAGGTGATTATCAAACAAAATTACCGACTATCCCACTTAAATTTCCCACTTTGAATATGGTTTGAGACTTTTTGTCCGCCGCACTTTAAAAGAAGTAATAGAAGATGTTGGTTACTCTAATTTGTGAAATTACTCTAATATCGACTGAAATAGGTAATATAATTAGTCATGAAGCAAATAAACGTATCCGACCTTAGCTCAGTTGGTAGAGCGGAAGACTGTAGGCGTTGCAGATAATCTTTAGGTCGCTGGTTCGATTCCGGCAGGTCGGAATATTTTTTTATTTCAATAGATTGTCTCTTCTGGGCTTTAAGAAACAAAAGCCAGCCCATATCTAATGCTTTTGCTTACAACCCCTTAAGATCAACCGTTAAGACTTTGCTTCTGAATAGTGTAAATTTTGTAATCTTGGGAACTAGAAAAATTGATGTAGCTTGTCTTGTCAGATAAAATGATGTATTAGCTTGTCTTTTCAGATAAAATGATGTAACATAACGACAAAAAACTAACTAACTTCTCCTTCTTCTCGGTTTTTCTCTTGGCTTTAGTTCTCCACTCTCCTCTTTCAGAAAGTTAAACAAAGGGCTACTACCCTGAAAACGAAGGCCAGAGTCACCACAGCCAATCGAAGCCAGACTCTTCGGTTTATATGTAGATGAAATCAATTCAATCAAAGATGAAGACAGTCTTCAGGGGAAAAGATATTAGACGTTTTAGAAAAAAAATAAAAAGAAGCATTAAAAAAAACAGACTAAACAGTTCTTTTAACAAAGACATGCAAGATTTTTTGGTTGTGTAATGTAAATTACTGCACTTGATTAAAACCAATAACTTGAGTTGCACAAGAATCATTTCTTTGCCTCTGACCTGTAACAAGATAATTCTAAACAAAAAACTGTAACCATGCTCTTCTGTTGATGCTTCTTCATCTCATTCATCAGCTTCTCTACCTCTACATGTTTCCATTTACATAACTGAAGTGACATCACATCTTGTCCTAAAACTCTGAAACAAGTCGACTCTTAATTGAACAAGACCTATATGGCTATAAGCGTTTACTTCGTTTGGTCTAATAATGTTTTCCAAGATTTGTGTTTGGTTTCCTCTTCCTGTGAGATCTAGCCCCGTTGCCTTTTGAAATCCATGTCAAGACATTCGTCACTTTCATATTAGCTCGAACACGGGGAGGAAGCGCTGTTTAAGCAGCCGCATTTTAAAGTACATGTCTACTAGACCAGTACCAATAAAAGAATCGAGCTAAGAGATAGTGAAAAATCAAAGAATCAAAAAAAGAACAAACCCATCTTCATCATATTATCTTTCTTGGGGCACAAGTATCGATATCAAACTTGATGAAGATTAGGTTTTTACAAACCTCTAAAAAAAACTTCTAAACCCTAACTTCTACTCCAAACAATTTTAGTTTCACTCCAAGGAGGTTTAACTTATCCACACAGACAAAACAAAGAGACTAACCCAATGACACAGATAGAAAGATAGTTTTAGCAGTTTTAGATCAAAACACCCTACACAAGAAAATGAACCTTGAGGTTCCTCACTACTGATCGACCAGTCACACACATAGCACCTACAGTGAGTGATGTCTGTCTCAAACATACTCGTTGACTCGATAGGCCGTCACTTTCAGAACGAAATCTCTGGCTCGTAGCAGCTCAAACACGCAGACATCACCTTCTCCTAGGTTGTTCTCCATAGTGAACTCATACCATCCTTGACTGAACTTAGCTCTCCCTGCTTTGTATAGGCATCTCACAGGCCATTGTTTCTCCCCAAGCTGTACCTTGATGAATCCAGAGATCCCACTTAAGTACTTCTCAGCAAAACCAGACGGCAAATACTGTTTAAAGATACACAAAATAAGAAACCTTCTTTAGAGACCATTGTAATGATATGCAAAAAGGTGTGGTTCTGAGATGTTTCTTATTATTACCATGATGCAACCTCTGTATAGATAAGACGGTCGTAGAACAACTCTGAAGAAAGGGTTTGTTGGCTCGAACGTTTTGGCTGCATTGATGGCCCTCTCTCTGTCTTCTGCAGTCGCTGTTCTCTTCCTCGCAGAAGCACTCTCGTAGAACTTTGAACGGCTCTCAGGGTCATCATCACGTTGAGCAGATGAGTTCACTTCCTCTAGATAGACCATATAAAAAAAAAAAGATTACTACTAACATGAGTCTAAAGAATCTAAACAAGAGGAAAATGCTTTACCAGGATCAGCGTTCTTCTTCTTCCTCCCTCTCTTTTTAGGAACTTTTGGTGTTGGTGTTGCCTCTTCAGCTTTAACAGGTCCAGTGAAGAAGCTCTGGATGGACGAACTACCATACCCCGGTGCACTAGTCTCAGCATCTTCATCTTCAAGGTCTTCAAACAAACGGGGGCGTTTTAAGTGGTTGTGTGCAGAGTCGATGAGACCAGTGGAGTGGTGGTAGTTGATCTCGGAGTGGGATAAGTTGTAAATGTAGACGCTGAAGGCAGAGTTTCCTTCGTATCTGAAGATCAAAAGGTAACCAATACGGATAGAGTAACGGTCAACAAACTCTTGCCAACCATCTTGGAACCAGATCTTGTTGTTGTCAGCTTTCCTTAGTCCTACACGCCAAACATGACCATCAGGTACTGTGAGTGCAACTGCAACCGATAGCTCGTCCTTGAATTTACTCACAAACTTATCTGGAACTCTCTGCACAATGCATACCATGAATAAAAATATTTAAAAAAAGAAGAAGATTATTTAGATCCACAAGAAAAGACTGCTTTGCCTTAATTTTAGAATCACAATCCTGCTTCAGTTTCTGTGGTATCAGCAAGGATAACAACAGTCCATTACAATGTTCATTTTATCTTTGTAAAGATGAGCGTATCACATAAATGTGACATGCTTGTTAACTCTAGGTGAAATAATAGCCTATATGATAAACTGAGAAACACATAGTATCTGAGTTGTTTCATACTAATCCATAAAACTTTCATAGGGTAATCTGCACAAGTGATAGCTAGTCACTGTATCATCTATTGTGAATATAAAAGTAGATAACAAAGCATAAATGTACATTTGTTTTTTTTTCTACAAGAAAACACTTTTTTTTTTGTTTATCTTAAGGAAACAATCAGTACTCAGTTTCAGAGTTTCACTCACACAAGTAACAATAGTAATCAAGAAGGAATCTTAAAAGCTTTAGACTCAAAACAGAACTCAACTTTTTCTGACAGAACCGTACAATCTTATCATCAACAGAAGTCAACTCACTAGAAATACCCCAAAACTACACTCAGATTTTTTTTTCTGTTAATCAAAAAATACAACCTTTGACCTGACACATCTACCGAGAATCAAGAAAATTCAGTTCAAGAAGTCTAACAATTGTCACAATATGAAGAATGCAAACGCATATTCTTGCAAGCTCTATAAAATATTCCAACTTGGAAAGCCATACAAAAAAGAAGAAGAGATTTTGGGATACAAGGAAGAGAGGAGTAGGGGAGGAGAGGAGGGACTTACCAGGCGTTTTTCTTGGATAGTGGATAAGAAAATCAGCTTGTGGAAGAAAGGGCGTGGCATGTTGAGTCAGAAGAAACAGTGAACAAGTAAAAAGAGAGGAAGAGACCAAAGTCAGAAGATCATGAAACGACGCCGGAGTACACGCGACAGAGACTGAGAAAGCCCTTTCAGATCTGTTTATGGTCAAAGGGGTATTTCAACACTCCCTTCTAAGTTCTAACTCTTCTTTTTACACTTGGCCTGACTGACCCAACCAAGCCAAAGCAAAAGAAAAAAAAATTGGAAAAGAAAAAGTGTTTATATTAAAATAAAACCAACTTGTGAACCTTGAGCGAGTCTTGAATATGTGTGTTTCTCATTTGAATCGGTGAGTCGAATCAATTGTTCTCTCGTATGCCCCCACCCATATGCCCCCACCCAGTACCGGTCCTCAGTTTTGCCGGACCCCGTCCAAAAATAACATATATATTTGTTTTGGTATATGTATTTTACATTTTCTTAATTGATTTATTAATATAAAATTTATTACTTTGATATGTTTAGATATTTTATCCTAACTAAATCTGAAAAAGTATCAAATTTTATGCAATTTTACAAGTTTTTTTACAATATAATAAATTCACAAACTAGGCCCCATCCCAAAGTATCATAGGTTTAAGGTCAAGCTCGGCACTGCCCCCACCTACTCTCCTTTTTCAATATATTTAGAGGAATAGTCTCTTGTCTAAGAGTACCTTCAACCCACCCTAATTGAGTCTCTTATTTTTAATGCATTTTAATGGTAAAAATGACGTAAGAGACCCGTTTAATAGACTCGCTAATTTTTCCTCTCCAATGCAGGTCTCTTAATTTAGCATTTTAACTTTTTTTTGTAAATACAAATTTGTTTTGTTTATTTCTTTTTATTAAAATTAAATATTTTCTTACAACAAAGTAAAAATAATATTTTAATCATAGAATTTTAAATAAAAATATAACAACAAAGATTAGTAAAATAAACAAGAATAATTTGAAAGAAACATCCGAGCTCACTTGTTGTCTTCGTCACGCCCAAATTTGCGCCATATATGTTCAACCAAATCAGTTTTTAGTTGGGCATGCATTTGTTGATCACGAATTTTAGTTCGAACACTCATCATATTGACGATATTTGTAGGCATATCCATAGAAAAATCGAGATTAACGTGTGAACTTCTGTTGTCTTCTTCTTGTTGGAACTCTGAAACATCATATTGAGTATATCCATCTCGTTCGTCTTTTACTATCATATTATGGAGTATGATAAATGCTCGCATAATCTTTCCAATTTTGACTTTATCCCAAAACAGTGCCGGATTTTTAACAATGACAAAGCGAACTTGCAAGACTCCAAAAGCACACTTCACATCTTTTCAGACAGCTTCTTGACGTTGAGCAAATAAAATTGCTTTCGGCTCTTATGGTAATTTAATAGATTGGATAAAAGTTGCCCATTTCGGATAAATATTATCAGTGAGATAGTAAACCATATGATACTCGTTTTCATTGATAGAGAAAGTGACGGACCGAGCTTGGCCACGTATTATGTCATCAAAAACAGGTGAGCGATCAAGAACATTGATATCATTAAAGGTACCTAGAGGTTCAAAAAACGCATGCCATATCCAGAGATCATACGAAGCAACCGCCTCTAAAACGATCGTTGGTTTACCGGAACCACAACTATATTGTCCTTTCCCAGCGGTGGGACAATTCTTCCACTCCCAATGCATACAATCTATGCTTCTTATCATCCCGGGAAATCCACGATACTCTCCAACATCAAGTAGACGTTGAAGATCAGCCGGTGTTGGTCTTCTTAGGTACTCATCGCCAAAAAAAATTATTATTCCATCCACAAAATTCTCCAAACATGACCGAGTTGTAGTTTCTGCGAGCCGGAGGTATTCGTCGACCGTATTAGACGCACTACCATATGCCAAGATACGAATGGCTGCTGTACACTTTTGTAGTGTTGAGAGACCAAACCTTCCAAGACCATCTCTCCTTTGATGAAATAAGTGAACTTCGTTCGAGAGTCGATCAACAATGTTCATGAACAATGTTTTGTTCATTCTAAAACGCCGTCGGAAAAAGCTGTGAGGATACGTCAGAGTTTCACTGAAATAATCATTCCATAAACGTATATTTCCTTCACGATTTCTTTCGATATAAGCTTGTTTTTTTTCTTTTTTTTCCTTTGCTCTTCTTGACCACCATGAATGGTAAAATTTTCAAATGCTTGCTCAAAACGTTGATCGAACATTTGATCAAATTTATCATCAAACATTTGTTCAATTTATCATCAAATGTTTCATCATCAAATGTTTCATCTAAAGTATTTTGAGAACAAGAAGCCATATATATGGTGTTTTTTGAGAAGGAGACAAGTTGAGAAAACAAAGAAATATGTAAATGGTGTTTGTTGAGAGTTGAGAAAACAAAGAGAAAAATTCGAGTATGATCTCAATGTTTGTGAATACAAATAATATATAGACAATGTGAGAAGTTAGCATGTTGTGTCCGTGTAACATACAGAAGAATACAAATTCGATTAATAGTAAACATGAGGACACAAGTTCGTGACACAGGTGAAACAAATGTGTAAATAAGAAACAAGTCGATGACACAAGTAAGGACACAAGTCTTCTGTTCTGTCAGTGAGGACACAAGTCTTTTGTTCTGTCCGTGACACACGTGAGGACACTAGTCTTCTGTTCTGTCCATGATTCCACCTTAAACAAAGAACGAAACAACATCTAAAGTTAATTAAACATAACCAAGAACATGAAACAAACAAAGAAACAACATGAAATAAAAATTAAACATAAGGAGGATTTATATTATACAAAAGTTAATTAAACATAAGCAGGAACTTGAAACAACTAGAACATGAAAAAAAAACAAAGAAACAACTAGAACAAAGAAACAACTAGAACATGAAACAAACTAGAAGATGAAACAAAGTTACATTAACTCTTTTATGAGTTTTTTCTTGAGATCTTCTTCATAATCAGCGAGATTTTCTTTTGCAAGAAGCTTTTCAAGTACCTTCAGCTTGGAGAGTTGTTGCTTCATTTCCAAGTCATCCTTCTTGATGCTCCACATGAGCTCATAATCAGACACATCTTGCCCCACAACCTTCTTTCCACGAGCTTTAGCAGCCTTAACACCAGGGGGACGAGATGTTCCTTCTACACCCTCATTTTCCTTGAAATGAGAGCTTGCTCCTGAATGTGATCCATCCGCGAACTTCCTCCCTTTGGAGCTGCTTTCAGTTTTAGAAATACCGAGCTCACACCACTTCTGGTCTTGTGAAGCTCGTTCCACGCATGTTCAAGGCTATATTTTTTTTGTTGGTTGTTGGAGTAGATCTCGTGGGCTCGTGTTAGAACGTCATTGTCATTCATGCCACTGGTTCTCTCTCTTATGGTTGCCTAATACGCCCCGAAAAACTTGCAGACTGCTTCATTCACTTTGTGCCAACGTTGCTTGCATTGATTCCTGTCGCGTTTCTCACAGCCAGCAAGTTTTGGACTAGAAGAGAATTATGCTGCAACTCTTGTCCAAAACGTTGATGACTTCTGCGCGTTCCCTAAAACATGGTATTTGCCTGTGTTCAACCAGCTGCTAATAAGCACTATATCCTTTGTGACTGTCCACGTCCTTCTTTCCTTATGATCTCTTGAAAGCTTTGGATGTTAACTATCAAAATACGACACTTGAGATGAAGAGAGTGGAACACTTCCTTGACTGCCAAAGACAACATTTTGTTGACTATGGAGTAGTTTTAAAAAGTTTGCCGAGTCCTGAAATGGATTGAAATCCATTTTCGAAGGCAAGGAGAGAGGAGAAAGAGGAGACAGAGGAGACAGAGGAGAAAGAGGAGACAGAGAAGACACAGGAGAAAGAGGAGACAAAGGAGAAGAAACAAGAAGGCACATTCATATGCTAGAGAATGAACTTGAAGACACATCTTATAAAATGTTCAAGAAAAAGAAAGGAGAGAGGTTTCGCATTCAACACACACAACCAACTTCAAACCACACCATCAATTCTAACTTTAACACGGAACTGTAATTAACTCAAACCACACCATCAATTCCATGACTTGACATATATCAAACAACAAACAACAAACATCAAACAATGCTTTATTTTCAATTTCAGACCAAACAATCAATTGTATTTATTAAGGTGAGACAACCATAACCGTACACTAACCCAACCATTAATTACCCTAAATACCATTCAGACAGAAGCTACACCATTTCATTACATACCACAAGCTACACCAACACATTTCGTTCAAAAAAAAAAAGAAAGACTAACCTGTGATCCTGTGTATTCCTATGTTAAATGACACTTGTTGTTGCTAAACCTAAAGACGTTTGAGGCTTCTCCCAAGTTACACTTGATCCAGCCATCTAAACACACGAAGACCAAACATATCAACATGTATTGTATCTAAGAAAGAAGAGGATTAAGAAACAAAGACCCAAACTTTACTTCTTTTCTTTTCAGTACACATTTCACAAGCTATTTTACCTAAGACAGAAGAGGATTAAGAAACAAACACTAACCTCATATTCCATAGAACATATCATCCATTTGATCCTTCATTTCAGCACGCAAAAGAAAGAAAAAAAATCAATTAAAAGCAACAAACTAAACGAGATTCTCATAAAATATTTGACCCTAAGACAAGTTTGATTGAAGAAAATGGACCACACGCTTTACCAGAGTGATTCACAGAGAGCCATCGACAAAGAGCTCCGTCTGCCGTCGAGGACAGCCACCGCGCGACAGAGAGCTTCGTCAGCCGCCGAGTAGAGCCACCGAGAGACAGAGAGCTCTGTCACCCATCGAGGAGAGCCACCGTGAAACCTAATTGAACCTACAAACTAATCAAACACGCGATCAGAACAAGAAGAACACGGGAGTATCGCCTTCTCAGATAAGCCACAAAGAGAGAAGATCCCGTTACAAGGTGCGGAGAGAGGGAGTACCGGACGAGCGACAAAGAGAGAGGATCCCGACGATAATCCATGGCGAGAGTAGGAGAATCGCCTTCTCCGATCTCTGGAAAGAAAAGGAGACTTCCGTCTCTCGAGAGAGAAATGACGAACAAAAAGACACGCTTCCCTTCTCTCCTCTCATTTTCCCTACACATGTCACATAAACACGTCTCTTGTTAAGCCCAAATAATATACGTGTTTAGCCTTTAATTATCTTTTTCATTTTATTTTAATCATAAGAAACCTGCTATATACGCCCGTTAATGCTGCTCAAAGCACCCGGTCGAAGACTGATATATTCTATAATCTTTTAATATTTGGCACATATAAAATGAACTGAGATACCGTGTGATAGTCTTTTATATTAGTTAATAAAGTTCTAAAAAGTCATATATATCAATAACCAATATGCAGTCTTGTGTAATGATTTTCAATCTTTTCTAATGCTCATAAATTAGTTATTTTTATATATTCTAGGAATCCCAGAAATAAAAGAGGCGAATAACCATAAACTGAAAGTTCAAACGAAGTAGAGAGAATCAAAAGTTGAAAGACATGCAACTGGAGCAAAAAATGAAGTCATTTTCAAAAAGATATATAATAAAATTTGACTGAAAGAAAAATTGATGAGAAAATTAGAGATGAACGGTTCCCCTTTAAAATAGAGTATATATTAAGCAAAATGTAGGAGGTGTTACAAATATGGTCCATTATTGATTAGCAGAATAAAAATAGAAAATGTAAAGTTAGAATAAAAGAAACTGATTCATGGAAACACGAACAATCACTACCTATTTAGATTAGTCTAAACGACGCTAGGCGTTAATCGGGCGTATGATGAAGACCTAGCGAATCTAGTCTATTAAAACAAAGTCCTAAATTTATCTACCATTAAAGTTATCATTTAAATTAGACTCTTAAATTTGTTAGTAAATTACCTAATTTATGGACACTTAGAGTTAGTTACAATATAATTATATAACACGACTATGACAATATAACAGGACAACTTAAACTAAACCAACATGTAATCTGTAAGTAAACCAATCTATTAATAGGAAATTAAAATAAAATTAGACTGAGTGTTATATAGAATTACATTAGCAATAGAATAATTCTCATTGGACCTCTTTTTCGTATATATGAAACCTTGCTTTAAGTTGATTGACCCTTGATTCTTTTCTCTTACCGACATCATCGTTACACAAAGAACATGTATATGTTTTATCCTATCATTGCTGAATAATACCCTGGATCAAGACAATTTTTGTAGTAGAACTATAGTATTTTTCTCTCAACTATTCCCTCCGTTTGATTTTTTATCATTATCGAGTAAAAATTTCATTTTATAAGTGTCATTTTATGATTTAGGTGTAAAATTATTAACTTGCTATTCTATTTTATTAGTTAAAATATAGTTACATTTATATATAATGATGTTTTATTTTTAAAATATGTAAAATAGATATTTTTTAATTTGTATGCATAAACTTAAAATGATAACTAAAATAAGATAAGATTGAGTAATTAAGGAATGTATTCTTGCCTTATGAACATTATTTTGATATAACCATTTGCAAATAACCTTTGATTTGAAAAACTCTCATTTCAAAACGGAACACACTATTATTAGGCAAATGACACAAACATGTCGATTAAGGAACAGTGGTTAAGAAAGCAGAAAATAATATTTATTATAATTCATGCAACGATAACAACATCAACATATGTATTAATGAAAAAAAATGAGAAAACTATATTAACAATATGACGATGAAGCTAGGTTTTGAATTTTGATTATAGTACTGTAAAAGTATTATAACGTTATTATAATATTCCGTGATTAAAATGGTTGATTTGACTATATATATTATCAAAGTGTATTTATTTTTTCTGGAGCTTATTTAAAGAAAATTCCATAATTAAACGTGTTTGAGTTAGAGTAAAAGTGTATTTACTTTTTCGAGAGCTTATCCAAAGAATATTCTATAGTTAAGCGTGTTTGAGTTAGAATAGTCTAAGGATAGATGATCTATCAAAAAGTGATTTGCGATAGCGTATATGTGAGGTCAAAGCACAGAGAAATATCATAATGGAACAAGATGGGACCCACATGCCGAGAGAGCGGATGTGGGTGGCCTATTAGCTGTGGACGGTTGGGGCATTACAAGTGGTATCAAAGCTGGTTAGTCATTTCAGTTCTGACCTAAGATACGTCTTGAGACCTGTCGTGGAGCGCAACGAGGATGTTGCGTTCTTTGAGAAATGGTGAATTGTAACATCCTGAGTTGTGATATATGAAAAGGCTTAAGAAGATTGATTTGGCTATCTATATCACCAAAGTGCACTTACCTTTTCAGAAACATATCCAGAGAGAATTCCATAGTTAAACGTACTTTAACTGGAGTAATCTAAGATGTGTGACCTATCGAAAAGTGATTTGCTATACCGTGTAAGTGAAGTCAACATACGGAAAAGGATCATGTGGTAATTTTAGGATCAGTAAACATGACTCTAGAACCTGAAAAAATTAACAGACCGATCATTAGAACATGATGGAACCCACGGGCCGAAAGAATGGACGTGAATGATCCATTAACCATGGACGGTCTGAACGTTACAATTAAGCTATACATTTTTAAAAGGTCTATCTGGTACTACGCATTCTTGAAGAATATGCCTTCTAAAAAATTCTAATACATTTGTAGTTTTGTACTAAATCATGCATGTGCAGACAAATATAAACTCAATTACAATTGTCATATTTAAGTCCGATTGTAGTACCTATAAATTTCGGTTTACAATGTAGAAATTATAAGGATATAGAAAGACATTTAACCATTGTGTCAGAGGATTCCAATTCGAATGATTGTTGGTGTGAAACTAATATTACTTGCAGTTCGGGTCTAATGGGAATAAGAACTTCGACTCCAAATCTTCTGGTATTCAAACAAAAAACAGCTTTAGTTGCTGATTATAGTTAGAAAATACTATAATTATTTTTTATAAGTACTATCGCATCTTCAATGACACGAATCAAACTTATAACTCTAGCAAACCGTCCAAAACAAAATGTTGCAAAACCCTTATCTCATTTTGCAAGTTATAACGCATTTGCAGCTTTAGAATTTATATGTTTAAGCATTTTTCCTTTCCAATATTTTTCCATCGAAAATTCGAGTGGCTAAAGCTGAAGCAGCTATTTTCGAAGTAACAGAAAGAAAAGGAAGAGATCGAGTCTAGAATAAACCGTAGAAGTGGCAAAAACGCCACCCTTCTAGCCATTCCAGGTTTGGAAAGTGGAATCGCTAGCTCGCATACGCTAGTTCGTACGCTCATAATAAATTAAATTTGCTCCTGCTACTCAGCCTAGAACCTTGAGCATGAGTTGCCCTCGGTAAAGAGAAGGGGCTAGGCTTGCAGACCTTCTGCACGTAAAGGAGTGTGCTGAGTCAGCAGTGAAGGTTGGGTCTGAAATTGCAATCATAATGTGGTCAAAAAGTCCAAAAATATTGTATTCTAATGTGGCTTAGTATCAACAATAAATGTCCGATATGTTGTTTTTAATGGGAAATTTCAACTCGACCAACAAATTTTATATCATTTTTCAAATTTACCATTATTAAATGATTATTTTCACAAATATTTTAAATTTGTGATAAAAAATTATTAATTTAATTTTTTAAATATTTATAGAACATTTATAAATCCAATCTTTTAATACTAAACCATAAACAATAATCACTAAAACTTATATTCAAATATTAGTATATGTTTTGTTTGATGGTCTTTTTGAAAAATAGTATTTAATTTGTGGTATTTTTAATAATTTCTCTTTTTTTATTATTTGATATATTTTCAAGTTACATATATATTACTTTTAATAAGAGGATGTGTTGTGCTGATAAAATAGAATGATTAATTAAGTGGCCTTAAAGTGATCAATCTGGATGTTCTCAGCCTGGAGCTTCTTGTAATTACTTCTGTTTCTCGTAACAAAGAACTTGCCCCAATTGTACTTTTTGTAACAAGGTGGATTGTCTTCGCCTATAAGCTCCTTCAATGGCTCAATGTTGACTTCATGGGATGGGAAAAGGAAGAATGGCATTGAGAATCTCTCTTTGCTTGAGTTCACTACCACTCTATGTTCGGCACTCCAATACTTGTCATTTGTCCATACCTACACACAACAAATATTATATGACCAAGTTACAGTGGACCCCCAAATTTTTTTGAGTTAATATATATATACATAGACCCCTAAATTGTTAAAAAAAAGTTTTTATTAAATTGTTTAAGGCTTATAAAATGTCAGGGCCAGCCCTGTAATTCACATTTAAAGTTCATGTCTTTTTACCTGCATGCAGTTGCCAATGTTAATGATGAAAGCATCAGGGTTCGGTTTCACAGAGATCCATTGTCCATCCGATCTACGGCTTACTTGTAACCCACCCACACTATCTTGGGCCAAAACGGTTATAACTCCCGAGTCTGCGTGGCGTCCAACGCCTAATGCTAGCTCCGGGTTCGGGCAAGGAGGGTAATGGTTAAGCCGCAAAAAGCTTATTTGGTCCTTGAAGTACCCCGTTAACCGATCACCGGGTAGACCCAAACTAATTGAGATAAGTTCCAAAAGCTTGAAAGCAAGCTTCGCAACTTCTCTTGCATATTCTTGGCACACCTCTCTACCAAACATGATTAGTATTAATTAAATTACAAACAATCAGGGCCTTAACTGAACCCTTGTTTTAAAGGGTGTTTTACCTGAAGTCGGAAGGGTTTTCAGGCCACTGGTTAGTGAGATTCCTGAGCTCGGTATCTTCCGGCACCGTAGTCGCCGGAACCGTCGTCGAGTCCTGCAAAAAGAAGTCGAAAATCTCTTTCCAGTCTCTAACGTTTTTGGTATGTTCTCCGTCGTGATAACCCATAGGGTTCACTTCGTCTCTTTTCACTCTTCTTTTCTCCTCCGACGTTAGACTGAAAAAATCCGCCATCGTCTTCTCCACCCGACGCTTTAAGTCCAACGACAAGCCATGGTTTACCACCTGGAAAAACCCCCACCTCATGCATGCTTCAGCAATCTCTGTCGCGAGCGCGGTCTTGTCGCAGTCTGGGTCTTGGAGAGAAGAGAGGTCGATGGTCGGGATCTCGTTGGAGTAAATGTAGTCACCGGAGTTTTTGAGATCAGTTTTGGGTCTGTGTTCAGGAGCTTGGATAAAAGCTTCGTCGAGTCCTCCCATGGTGATTTTTTTTTTTTTTTTTTGCGGTGATTCTTATGTTACCTTTTGAGCTTTGGATATTCTGATGATTTTTGTGGTGTATGCGGATGGGTTCTGTTTTATAGGGAAAATGTTACGTGTAACTTCGTGCGTTTCGAAAACAAAACGCTTTTATTGGTGAAATGAATGTAGACTAGTTTCTGTGAACAATTAACTAATTATCACATTATGGATGCCACTCGGAGAAAGAAGATCAAAGACGCCAACGATATATAGAAAATAGACATATCATGAGCCGTTGTATATTTTTCTTTCTCTCCGTCTCATAAAAAATGTCAAAAGTGACATTTTTAATACAGATAAAAATTATTAAAATGCGACAAAAATTTTCTTTTAATTAAAATGCATTTTTTCTTATTAATTATACATATTCAACCAATAATATTTGACATAAATAAAATTATATATAATCAATATCTTTGTAATTATTATTAATTGAAAATTGCATTAAATTTTTAAAATGCCACATTTATAACAAAAATGTTAAAATGACATTTAATAAGAAATATAAGGAGTAGAAAATAAAAGTCTACTTTAAAAAAAATTCCACATTTTTTTTTATCTTTTGCAACAAAATTTCAAATATAATAAAAATGGAGAGCAGAGGAGAGGAGGATCAGCTCACATGAAAATATCTCTAAGCCTATACGGAACCTTAGAAGGGTGTGAAATGTCATTTACATAAGTTCAATCTTAATTGGATCTTGGTCCAAAATCTTATTTGCAAATATTTTTGTTGTCATGGGACATCATTTTTAATACTCACACTGTTTTTATTTATATACTCTCTCCATTTTAAAATGTTCAATGTTTTAAAATTTTTACACATATTAAAAAATTTATGAAATTGATTATCAATACATTATTTTTTGTAACTAACTATTCTCTATAATTTTTAACCAATAGAATTTTAATGAATACTTTAAAATTATGAATCACATTGATTGATGTATTGAAAATGTAAAAAAATATATCATTTTAAAACAAAAAAAATCTATAATACGCAACATTTTGAAACATAAAGAATAATGGTTTACACTTTTATTGAAAAAAAACGTTTTTATTGGTTGGTAAGATGAATGTAGACTAGATTCTGTGAACAATTAGGTTGGGGAGGGGGGATTACTGGTAAAAAAATCTGGAGAAATTAATATTTTTGTTGACATGGTTAATATTCATTATTACTGATTTATGAATTTTTAAAATCTAAAATCTATTGTTTTGGGCTCAAGACTTCTAAATTCAAATCACAATCTTTTGTTATTAGAAAAATATATTTTTCCTTGATTTTTGGATTCTATTAAAATCTATTGTTATTTACTCTCAATTTTGAAAATATCATCTATACTCAGAAAATAATCATTTAATTCTTGAGGTATTTAAACTTAACACTTTTATTCCTCAACCATCTACTATGAAATTTAAATTAAATTTAAATCCTCAGATGTTTGTTGATTTGACAACATTAAACATAAAAAATATCCACGTTAAAAAGCAAAATGGTAAACGTAAGTTTAAAGTGATCCCTCTTAGATTGATGATTATCCAATATAAGGATAATGTTTATCCTCTAGATTTTGTTTTCTTTCTCTTAAATTGATGGGTCACAATCGACTACTTCCACTATATAAAGAGTCATTTGTTTTAAGACCGAGCACAATTACTTGATATCCGGTTTGTACTCGATATTTGATTCAGTTTTATTTAAAAAAAACAAGTACTTGATATAATTAAGTCGAGTAAAAAATAAAAATATTTTTTTACTTACAAATACAAGTCAAATATCAAATTTATTTTTATTTTTAACTATTTGACTTGTCACTTGATTCGTTACTTGTCCCTTTTTGTTTATTAAATACTTGATATCTATTTTATTAGTTAATTAAATTTCATTTGATAAGTGGCCACAAATAAATTTTATTTGCCTTCTATTTGCTATTTGATCGGTATATAATTTTAAAGACGAGTACTTGTTTTGACAAATCGAATCAATAATCTATTTAAATTACTTGTAAGTACAAGAAAATATTAAATATTAAAATAAAATTAACTACTTAGCATTGTTGGGTTTATTGCTCATTTATGTTAATAAACAAATTTACATTTTCATAAATCACAGTAAAATAACTCATTTATATTTCTATTTTCGGAAGTGAATCAAACATAAATGATATATTTATATATATATATCTTGGAATTTTCTTCTTCTTATATATTCTATTTACAGAATTGGCTAAAACACATTAAAAACAATGACATATTATTTGTATATAATAAATTTATTTACCTTTAAATTTCAACGAACTATCAAATAATTTACCAATAATTATCAAGTAATTAGCAAGTAACGTACAAGTAACAAGTAATAAAACAAGGTAAGTAACTTGCAAATCCGTCAATTTTTAGCAAGTACGTAAAACCGTAAGTACTCGTTTTCACCAAACCAAACACAAGTCCAAAATTCAACTACTCGTACAAGCCAAGCCGATTATTAAATATACCAAAAATACCAAGTACTCGACTTGTGCCCATCCATAATTTGTTTACTTGTAATCAATAGTGATAAGTAATTTTCCTCACTTTCTCGCTTTCATACAAAGTATAGACATATTATAAATAATATGAACACATCTATAATTTACATACCTCATATGTTTTATAACACGTTATCAACAAAAAAATTCTTATATCAAACAAATTTTATTATTGTATTAAGTGAGAGGTTAGGTCTTCTCGTTTATTTGTCGTTATTATAGGCGTTGTTTTCTCTGACTGGTCGTTATGTAAACTATGCCTTCACGATTAGAGAAATATGTGGTAGACTTTACCTCTGTAAATAAAAAGAAACGATTAACATAGAAGGCTATGTCTCTTTCGACTTTGAATAAAAAAAATGTTAAAATGGTAGACTATTTCTCCTCATATCTTGAAAAATCATCAATATGGAAAACTATAACTCCTCGGATCATGTGGAAGTGTAAACCTCCAGTTTTTTGCTCTTTGAATTTTGCAATTTAAGTTTATGACTTTAACTTTTTCTTTTAAATTCTCATTTTTACTATATATTTTATATATACTATTATATGAATACGGTTATCATGTCGAATTTGGAAAAAACTCATAATAAATGTCCTTGATATTATGAGAAATAATTATATGACTTGGGATGTAGGTGCAAGGATGCACCTGAAAAATACTTGCTTTTAGAAATCATCGATAAGTTGAAAACTATATCTTACATTACTTTAATGATGGTTTATAATCATTAAAGAAAGGATTCAAAAAAATAGCTGGAGTTGATATAAATCCTCCATGTAAACAGAAAAATTTCATGATAATAAACCATCATTTCATCTTAACAGGAAATGACAAGGCTGTAGACGCGATAGAAATCGTGGTCGTTAAAGAGGACAAGGAAAAAGATTTCATCCCTATGGTAAGAGAAATAAGAAATTCCATGGAAAGGAAAATGATCAGGTGATAAAAAGCAAACAAAAAAGTCTAGTACAAATGCAGCAAAAAAAAACATTGGATATGTAATTGTCGTACGCCAAAATAGTTAGATGATCTGTATTGTGAATCGAAAATAAAAGGACAAAGAAAAAGAAGTAAAATTCATCTCTTATGAACGTGGACCATCTTTTCATGGCATGAATTCTCATTTTGATATTTCAGATTTTCTGGTTGATCCAAAAATAAAAATATTGATGTGACATGAGAATTATCTTCCTAAAGAATATAAGGTTTATTATTTTATCGATACATATTTTGTGAGAGTTGGATACCAGATTTTAAGGTTTAGGATGAAGATATATATTTGGAAATACTTTAAAATGACATTTATCATTCTGTCATTTGTTGAAAGTGCTTTAGGTCCACTTATAATTTTTTTTATTTTTAATTAAATTTTTCTTGATTTTTGCAAATGATATGATTTTTAATAAATATTTTTAGTCAAATAATGAAACAAAAAATAACTTTTCACTTTCAACATATTCTTCAAGATGGATGACAACTCTCATATCTCTAGATATTTAAATTAGATTTTATAATCTAAACTTTTATTTAAAATTTTAGCATAATTAAAAACATAAAACCTATAATATCTATTTTCAATATTAATGCGTTCAAACTTTAGAAATATAAACTTCATTTTATAATTTATATTTTCGAAAATCGATATATAGGCATTATATATATATATATATATATATATATTCAAAAATTAATATAATAAACTAAAATTTATATAAGAAAACCCGGGCGTAGCCCGAGAAAACCACTAGTTTGAAGTATAATTCATCCCAAAATAGAAAAAACTGAATATGTTGTTGGTTCTAGAATGGGATTCAATATGAGATTTTGGACATGAGTGTCATCATCTCTAGGAGAGAATTAAAGAATCCTAGTGAGTGGAACATTGGGAAGATTATGTTCGCCCTAAAAAAAGAAACGTAAATTCAAATAAGTTGTATCCCATGTCGGGTGTAAACATGCAGTTGTGCATGTAATAAAGACATATAAAATCCAAAAAGAGATATAGTATATGAAATAATTAAAGAAATGCTCGCAAGGTTACTATAAGCATATAAATAACCGATGGAATGATATATGTGAAATGGATTGTCATGAGAAATATAAACCTGAAATTCATAGGTTAATCCATTTACACAATTAACTGACAAACACAATAAATTTTTGAATCTCATATTCTAGCTGAAAAAGACTCCAATAAAAATAAAAGACCTGATAGAAGGTTTATAAGTCTATGGCACGCTAGAGACATGATAGATGATTTTGGTATCCACCAAAAAGGAGCATATATATGAATAGATGATGGATCTATTGAAGCGACTGTTGATGTGGTAAATGTATAGTCAGATACCTGAGTAAATCATTGATGATGATTAAGATATTTCGATTAACCATATCATCACGGATAAAAGATGGAACCAAAGATAAAATATATTGTCGACAATAATAAGAAAGCGCGTCAACAAGAAATGAGAAAACACA